TTGTGACGTGTCTGTGTTGAATTCTAACAAGCAGTGTCATTGTATAGAAAACAGTACATTGTTACGTAACGTGCATTATAGATTGATGATCTTTGTGTTTTTGGCGTTAAGTGCCGTTTTAATGTTAACGTTCTGATGACGACGACTAGGCAAGTCGCCCTGCGGGGACATGCTCTACTGACTTGTATAGGCTGACCCAACGTTACATCACTACTAGACAGGCCTGACGATCGCTGGTCTGTATCTGGTAATTATAACAGATCGACAAATACAGAACAATTCATACCAAGTCACTCGTGCAAAAAGATTAGCTGATGGTTAATATTATATACATATATATATATACAGTCTGACTTATTATTTGCTTCATGGAAGATAACTTTTTTGAGCACTAATAACGCAGAATTTTAAAAGCCCTTCAATTGTAAATCTGCTACTTTCCATCGAAAATGGCATTCTAAAACGTATAATTAAACCAGATAATTAACACTAACGATTGACTCACATTTTATTTTACAGATTAATACAGTTCTATTTTACCTTTTTGAACTTCGTAAAAAGACAGGCTACGTCTACAGTTTGGATCAGTTATTGATACTAGAGTTGAGGTAGACTTGAATCGAAAGTATCATGCATACAAAGCTCTATTTATTATATAAACCTCTTTTATATAACGGTGACAATACTCATGCAAACATCAGACAAGCACTTTGTTCAGTTAGTCACTAAAGTACCAAGTAATTTTGTGTTTCAAACAGGATTTCAGCAAAAATAAAAATAAATAAATTTTAAAAATAAATGTAAATTTAATGAAAAGAAATATCTAAATGATAAATGACTCAAATATACATCATTTCTACAGACATTGCATGATTAAGCAAGTTACGTTGTGTAACATCAAATGCTTTTGCAAAGTCAGTCAATTTCACTTACAGATCTGCTAAAGACGTCTTTGAATAGCATGGAATTTACGCATCGCATTTATCCAACAGAACTGGAAAGCAATGGCATGATATCCTATTCTACACCAGCCACTTATCTTAATCTTTTCCTACAACGAAACCAACAACCTGCATTCCCAACCTGTGGTATTCACATGTCGTAGTTGATTCGGAATTCAAAGACCTGTTCCTAATATCACGACTTTTGTGCATGATGTTGTTAACTGACTAACAAACTCATAATCCATGACTTCAACAATGCAGGTGAAAAATAGGGGACAGTTTTCCGGCTGTCATTGTGATATCATTGAGAAATATTACACTCCTTTGTGGGATATGAAGCTGGACGTGTTTAATACTCGTTAAATTGCCTGTTGGTTACATTGTTGTATAAATGTTCTCATTTGAGGACGTGATATAACATTCTTGAATTTACCAAAATTTCCAAGCCGGGTGTCGCCAATGAAGTAGAAGAAGCTTACTATTCCGAAAAACCTGGTCTTATTCTCCTTATATTTGATCAGGAGTCTCTGTGTAAATATTGTTTTATTGAATTTGAGATTAGATTATGATTATGTTCACATGTTGATATTTTCTTGTGTTTTAAAAATAGATTTTTGTAAATTTGTAAAATTTGATATTTTTTTGAAGCTAACGTAATTTTAAACACGCCGGTGGTTATGAACATTGCAACAGTATAAAATTGAATATATGAATCTTAATGAGATACCTTTCCCCGTCCTTTTGATAATTCCAAATTGGAAACAAAAATGGTTGAAACTACAGCTACACTATCTTCAAATGATTTTTCTTGTGTTAAATTCTCGGTAATATCAAACCAATTGATCTGGTTGAAAGGCCACAAAATACCATTTCAACAGAAAAAAAAAGTTGTGAGACCAAATCAAAATAACTTTAAAACAACAAGGAAACCTGTGAAGCATATCAGTTGGTTGGGTCCATCTTTTTTCACGTTTTATTTCCTAATTATGTGTAACTGGCAATTGCTAAAGAACCGTTTTTCCACATTGATAAATGATACATATTATATAAAAGAAATGATATGAACACGTTATTTTACAAATCAAAATTGTCATTAAGGTCAAGGCTCTGTAAACCACAAAACCTAAATATACTAGAGATACTAAACTAACGATACTACATAGCTTAATGCAAGGATGTCGCTATATACACCGACTGAAGTAGATTAATCTGTGCTTGTCAATCTTCCGACACCGCCTCTGACAACCTTGTTAGCAAACCACGATGTCTTTACATCGCAATATTTCTTTTCCCGAGGTCATTAACTGACCTCTGTCCATACTGTGACAAGATACCGGTATTTACCCACTGTACCGTATCGTACATTATATCATCTGAAACAAAACAAACATAAAACAATAAACACAAATAACAACTTCATTTAATTTTCAGATGATATCAATTAATTTAATGAATATATGAATTCAAGGGAAATGCAGTTATACATTGGTCACCTGTGTATACGTATGTATGCTACAGGCTTCTGATATAGTATGTAGCATGCCGGCGCTTCCTGTTCCAACAGCATTGTAAACAAGGCGGACATCGGTAACATACTGACATCAAAGTGTACATCCATTTATGTTCCGGACTCTGCTGAACCAGTCTGAGTTAGGAAATAGATACAATACGGAGGTAAGTGTATTTTTTTTCTCAAAATTGAACATTTATTATCCTGTCATTGTAGTTAGAAGCTTCAGGCAATATGGTGGTGCATATCTGATCAGCGTGTTACGTTATTTATTTTACACGTAGTTCAAATTATACAAGAAATGAAAAGTCATTCTATTAACATGGTGCTCTTTTGTATTAAATTAGTAAAATACAACAACAAAACTATTGTTTTAAAAATATGTAAAATGGAAAAAAAAAAAAAAAAAAAATTGCATTGTTCGCTGTTGAAAGTCAATCCTCTTAGTTTGTAACTGTTATTTCCATTCATGTCATTAACGCATTTGCTAGTACATGTCCTTAGAATATTGTCACGTGTTAGGGATTTCATTGTAATTGGAATATTTTCCTTAAATATTTCAAACTTACAGTCCCAGTGAAACATTAGAAATTAAGCTATCACTTCATTTTCAGCATTGTCCTGTAAATAAACAGTCGAGTTATTGACCTTGCAATAGTTTCCCCCGAAATAACCTTCGACCTTGACGTGGGGAAGATATTATCGTGTCAAAATATAGCCCCAATAAAAAATACAGACAAAAAAGGCGATGCTATTGTTGTCACGTGGTTCCCCAAATTGTCCTCCTTATTTTTAGTAATGACGACGATGCATACTATTAATTAGCGGTCTACTACTGAACTATTTTTAAGGTGAATGACATACCCTGCAGTATTTTATACACTAAAAAGGTTTCAATAATCGTATTTAATCATATAGAATATGCCACTTTTACTTCAGCTTGACTTTGAGCAGATATTAGGACCAAACGATTTCTTGAATGATTTCGACGACTGCGGCATGACTGCCATCACTTAGAGATGGTGATTCAGTTTTTATCTGTTTGTACATTGTGAAGTTTGTCTTATTACAAGTTAATTGTAAATAAATGTCAAAATTCTTCCAAACAGAAGAACGGTAGAAATACACAGCTTTGTAGTAAAGTACTAACCGACACATTTCTTCAGTGAATTAAGATATTACGTATACAATGACGTACTTTTTTTTTTATAAACTAAATACAACGTGCTAGATAGATCATCCTGGGTCACCGAACAGGTGTCACGTAGGAAGATGGATAGCTGTGTACTTATCTATTGATTTGTATAACGTTATTTAATTCTTTTGTGATATCATTGGCTGTTCTTTCTCCTGATGTGGATTTCTTGAAATCAAAGGCATTCCAAGTAAGATATATTTCGAAGTATAACAATGAATATGTTGTGGTCAGTGATTTCTGATCTAAAATAGACAGTAAGAATTGCCTGTAGATATCAATCATGTCGGATTTTTATTGGCAAAATTTAAATTTTCTACTCGTTACATTTTTCATTTTGAAATAATAAAAAAGAAGCGCCATCTTCTCTGTCAAAAAGAGCGTGAATCACTAGCGTGGTCTTTGATAGCGTATGATATGACGTCGCACTTGACAACAGGTAATGAATGTTTAAAATGGATTGATTTCAGAAATGTTCGGGACTACTAGGCAGCCCATTAGTAAATATAAAAAAATGAATGTATAACGATTGCATCGAAGATGAAATAAAACAACCGCTCTTTTATCATTCCGTTCATTTCACTTTAGTGAAAAAAAGATCATATAACATCAACACAGCAAAGAGAAATCACGATTCCGACTCCTAATAAAGCAGTTTTCATCACAGGCTTGTCTTGTTATTAAAATATTAAACTCTGGCAACGGTTTTGCGTATTTCACTCGTGTACCATTGCCTATTTTGATGTCAGCGGGTGAAAATAGAATCACAAATTATATCATGACGTCAAAATGTAAAATATGGAGTGAAGGTGTATTCAACATTGACACGGAAAACCAAGTTTTCAGTGGTATTTGCAAAATTAATTGTTCTTGTTGAAAAAGACCTCAACATCATTACTATTTTCACTTTGTGAAACTCATCATAGCTCCCAATAGACGGAGTGTTGTGAACTATTACAGACAATACATTTTGTTTTGTATGGTAGCGTGTTAGTGACGTTCGTTCAGTCCTCTTTCCATCTCGCGTTCGTTTCATTTACTGTAATTTAGATACATGAAACATTGAGGATGCGCCTCGATTAGGTCATTTACTCACAATGAAATACTGCTGTAGTAATTGATGACCACTCGAGAACAATCAAAGACCTATCCCTTTTCTAGTGAGCAATGATGATATATTATACCAGACCATAGGTGATTACTTTCCCACAAAGTTGAATATACTACAATCTTAAATAAACTGTACACAACATCATAGTTTAAGTGGGTGCTAAATGTCAAAATTTCTACATCTTAAAGTGTTTGTTTGAGCTTTTGTGGGATGTTTCAGAACAAAACGAAAACAACCAAGATGGTTAACAGATTTGTATCGTCTGTGGTGATATCCGTCTTGTCTCTGCTTGTAGCTATTGATGGTAAGTAGCCTAACCTTATTGGTATTATTGATAAAGCTGTACATGATAAAGGCAAAAATACTGGAGCTGTGCTTATTAGTTGAATAGTTTACGTTTTGTGAATTTATCGATTACTTTCAGGTTTTCTTTGTATATTGGTAAAAAAAACACAGTTTGATATATGAATCTAAAAAATAATTGCACTCGTTAGAAAAAACAAAGTTTTGTATACATTATCTTCTCCAAAGTTGTTATATATAGATAAAGTATTTCTCATTCTGATTTCGTCAGATATATTGTACAAAAGTATTTAGGTACATACATACAGCAATCGCGGAACGGGGATTATATTATGGCAATAATTAAATGCTTTTTACTATGAGCTTTGATATGCCGAAAATCGTCTTCTTCCGTCGCTTATTAAATTCATTATTTGGCACAAATGTATCTTAATTTGCCTTGGAAGGTGTTTATTCACGTGTGTGACTTTTAAACCTTTCACTTTCAGCACAAATTCCTATTGGTGGGTTAGAAGAAATAACACCTTTCGAATTCGGTCGAATGACAGCGGGAGTAAATCCGTCTCAGCAAGCACGTGGTGTTGGTATGACAGCAGGCATCCGGCCATTCAACGCAGTGCCGAACCAATTTGTACAACGGGGTTTAATACGTAGGCCAGGTCAGATGCAAATTCGTTTTAACTCAGGAATTCCACCTGTATTTCCATTCAACAGGAATGTCTTAGGTAGACGTGGTCTTCCCGGGAACCCGGGTAGTGTAATTGCCCCTTCATTTAATAGAAATGGAATGCGGATAGTTCCAATGGGAAATAACATCAGAACTCTTAGACAACGACAGTTACAACAGGAGGCACTGAGGCGCGCACAAATTGCACAGCGCTTCCGACCATTCTTTAACGCAACTCCTCCTAGAGTTGGGGTTGCAACAATTCAACAAGCGGCTGCAATACAGCAAATCAGGGCTCAACCAAATTTTCAGCGAGCTTTGCCAGTTGATTTGAGTAGCTTCCCTAATTTTGGAACTCTCCGTGGCAATGAAGTTGGCAATCAACTCATCAATCAACTGATTTCTTTTCAACAAGTTTTCCCTGACGGTTTGGGACAACGTCCCGTTGCTGCCCAACAACAAGCTGTACCGAGAGTAATGCCAGCACTAATGCCTGCAGATCAGCAAATTCTAAACAATATGCTAAACCAGCCCCAAACACAGATTTCGGAACCTCGTGGGCAGTTCCTTCCTGGCCAAGCTATGGGTTCTGTACCTAATCTTCAACGAGTTACTGGAAACAATGCTGTACTGCCACAACTTGCTAATAATTTACCTACTCCACAACTACCGTTGGCACCAACACAAGGTTCGCCAGCAGAGAATGTTGTTCCCGGAAGCAACCAACCGCAATGGTCATTTCAAACAGATAATACTCAATCATTAATGGGTGGACAGGATTCACAGACATCAACGCAAACAGGATCAGTAGAAAATAATCCGGTGTTCACAGACCAGTCTGGTCAGGGATTTACTGAACAAGGTTTCGTAGACCAAACAGCTGCTCCACAATCTACACAAACCACAAATGATAATTCACCTGTTGAATTTGATGAACAAATAACGATATTCCATCCAGGAAATCAGGAACTGTGCTACCGAGGACGAAATTTATCTCCAGATTTATTGAAGTGGATTGTAAACATTTTAACATTAAGGATCCAAAGACCTGACGGCGACACTCTTTGCAGGAATCGTGATAGCTATACAATATCTGAATTAGTAGAAATGGAAAAAGAATTTCTTTCCTCAGGGATCAATCCACATAATCCCAATGCATTCCAAGTACAACCGGATATAGTAGACCTCGACAATACCGGAATGGCTACTGGGACCGCTGCGGCTTCCAACCAGGGATCTAACCCAGGGTTACCTGTTCCTCCCGCTGACGCTTTAGTTGCCATGGGAGCGTCATCTCGGGGTTAGTATAGAAAACAGAAATTGTTTAAAATACCCACAATAATATCCAGTTTGAAAAGGTTACCAGTGTTAGTTTTTAGTAACATTTATATGTTGTCCTCTGAACTCTAGCCATGTAATTGGTTACAGTATCGTAAGATGCAGTTTAATTCATTGATTGGTCCTACAGTATCTTACTCTAACGAAATTTGATGCGGCAAAGGCACCATCATTTTTAAGTGACTATTTAACATTTAAAACGCAACAACCCTGATTATTAGTCCAGCAGTAAATTATTTTGTATATCAAAATTTACGATTATAGTTCAGAAGTTGATTTGGGACACCGTTTGATCCAGATTAATTTTCATCAGTTTATGTAATTTACACATATATTCGACTTATTATAAGAAATGTTTCTACCACTGATTTCCTGGAGCAAGGATGTGTATAAAAATGTATCGCCTAAAAGTGGTTGTAATGCGCTGGATGATCTTTTCGTGGCGGTATTAACTATTAATATGTACAAATATTGTTATGACTGTTATGGAAAGCTATTTATATCACCGTACAGGTATTTGAAAATCATCTTATTCATGTATTATGGATTAGTTTTGTTGTTTTTGTCTGTTTACGTTATGTAACGGTGGATGTATATATAAATTAATGATAATGTACATCCATGCAATTATGCATAGCTGTATGGATATATGTGACAATTTTTAACTTCTTTTTTTCAAATATAAAGATATATATGTCTACATAACTAAAATATTTTAATGAAGCTTTTTGAAATACCTGTTTTCAGGAATACAGAGAAGAGCTTAATATTAAAGGTAAGCTTCCACAATAGTCTCTACATTACCAAGTTTCCAAAGCAGTATTCAATCAATTTCTTTTATTTTATCAAATCAATATAAGGCTTATAGCCTCCCCTTGAAATGTCTCTTAAAGACGAAAGTTAAAGTTGTTAGTGTTTATAATTTTTTTTACATATTGCTTAAATTTGTTTTTAAAACCTTTTTGACTTTGAATTAAAATGGTTTGATATTGCAGAAAACCTGTACGTTGCCCAAACTGTTATCAGTCTAAAGACACCACTCAGTTAAAAGTCGATACTCAGTACTTATTTTTATATTTATTATCATTTTCTCATATATGTGTTTGTATTTTCCTTTTCAGATGGTGACGTTACTTGAACTCTTCCGGATGTTCTTTCGATCTTGATTCAAAACAGCAACACAAAGGACATTTGTCTCAAAATCTTTAGTGTGTCATAATATACTTATCATTTCCACACTATTATCATGACAATATGAGTAAGAAAACAATTTTTCATATATATTGGTCACTCATGAATTGAGACAGAGTGAAATAGTTACGATGTAATAAATCCGCGCAATCAATTGTCTATATAACTATTATCTAACATTTTCATACGAGAAAAGAAGACATCTAAATTTAAAAGAACAGGATAAAAATCAAATGAAATGAAGCACAGTTATAACAACAATTAGTACAGATGTCCTTGCTTTATTGTACAGTGTTATCAAATGGTAATAAATATTCGATGTTAATTTGTCTTGGAATAAAAGACTACAAGACTTTGTTACCATATTGTGTTTTTTATATCTTATGAATGTTTGTTCTGTTGACATTACCGACCCAAAGGAAATGTTCCTCGATGTCAATATATCACGACTTGATCAAAATTGATTAAAAGCGTCAAAAATTACAATTGTGAAGATGGTTTTCTATATATACGTGTATATGAATGTGTCTTCAAAAAAATTTCAAAATAGTTTGGGGTGACAGCCCATATATCCTTTCTTGCACCAGCTGTTTTCCCTTAACGGTAAAAGGCCAACCCCACTTAGTAAATATCGTATGTGATTGATAAGTGTCTTTTAAAATTACCTACGTGTTTCTTGATAACTTTCTGAATACACCGATATTTACACACTTCATCGGAAAGATACACATAATACTCAAATTCAGTAATGTAATGAATAGGCAACATCAAAAACTGTTTCGTTAGTCATTCAGAGCTCGTTATTGATTATTAGGGACTATTTTTTTTTTTTTAAAAAAAGAGGAAATTCCCAAGTGACCGAAAACATCTTAAAATCTAGAAGCGGAGATGCACCAGCCTTGTAATTGAGTAAATTTTAAAATCTGATAATTTCAAACGAATGTCATTATGCGTATATTTGTTTGGAGAAGGATATAGGTAGCAGTACACAGTTTCTCGGTGTGGCCATGGGTGATTTTTTTGCTCATTAGATTACCCCATTATAAAGGTTTTAATTAAAAATGGAAAAAAAATCCTTGCTAAAATTGGTCCTGTCATGTTAAAGTGGACAATGTGGGGTTTCATTTTTTTCAGGATAATATTTTAGCTTTGTGTTGGAGATTACTATTTGGGCAGTCTACATCTGTGTCTACGCACCAAAAACTAGCTTTACAGGAAGTGAAATTTTCATAGTGTTCACATGTGGTCATGTTATGAAGAATTTCCGAGTTGGAATTTGCTGAAATGTAAGTACTTTGTTACCATGACAGTGTTGTTGATTGTAAGATAGGTGTTTAGAATTAAATTTCTATTAGAAATTGTAGTGTTAGGTTGGAATTAGCAGTATTTTTGCATTTTTTAGCATTTTTTCAGTAGGTAACCATGACAATCAAATGTCAGAAATCAGAGGATATTTTTTTAATCTCAAACATGACAAATAATTTCAGGAAAAATGCAAATTAACTGTTTCCTGCTACCTATAAACATAGAAAATGAATCATTATGACAAAGTAGACTACAGCAATTTACATATTTTACATTTCTTTCTTCGAAAAGGCAAGATAACACTGACATGCGAACAGAACTTTAATACAAAATTTGAAATCACGAAACAAGGAGACCCTTGAAATAAATAAGACCGTGTGATTCGGAAGAGTAAGTTTTTTCCCTCTGCAATCACCATACAAACCATAGACGAGCACACCTTACTTCACTTTGCACAAAGAAATAAAAATATTTTAACTGTATTATGATGGAAACCACCAATCTTCAACGTATCATACATGGAAGTCAGCTGTTGACATCTTTCAAAGAAATCCTGATGTTGGGATCACAGATATGGATGAAACAATTCTTAAATCATACAATATACTGTATATGAATTAAATTACTTCTTACCTAAATGTATAATCATTGAAACGTGAAATGATGTTTGTATTCCATTCATTCCTAGCTACATAATTGAGCTAGGATTATGAAGAAGCTCCGACAGTTACCTATACATGACATTTTTTTTATCTGTATGTTTTTGAGGACGTAATGACATTCTTTCACTCTCCAATCCATACTCGTTGAGATGGATGTGAAATAAAAGGAAAAAAATATGACAACAATTATCTATATTTGCACGTATATTTTCCCACCTAAAATTTATCTTCCAATGAATTTGTATCCTGATTAATCATACAACATAATGTACATTTGAACGTTTGAAATGGGCTTTCAATGTAAAACAAGTGTTGTACATTGATGTGTGTGACGTCAGTCATATCTATCACCAAGGTTTGTATACATCACCTTAGGGAACTAGTGTCTTAGCGACGTTAGCCTTAACACACAAAACGTGTTATATTAACGCTCTCTGATTGAATAGAACATCAAACTTAAACCATTTATTTTATATGTCCATTAGAAAATAAAGTTCCGAGAATATGAATGGAGTTCTTTTGAAACCAAAGCTAGTAAAATGTATAGAATGACAATTGAAAAAATATAGGAAGACTTTTGTTTCCGTCACTGGAACAAGAACTTTAGTTATTCAGCTCACGGTTATAGCCAATCACAACTGCTAAATTAAAACCAGTTTTTTATAACTAATTACAAAAGGTCAGCTATATTAATTAATTATTCCCATTAATACATACTGAGGTAATCAGTTTCAGAGCTACGGTTTGTTCAGGGATTAGTGGTTTTACATGTGCAGGTTTGGATGTATTGATAATGTCAAAGGACGTGTAATGTTATTGACGATAGTCATGTTTTGCATGTGAATGAGGATGTATCATATGATTTATAGACAGATAGATAGAAAGCAAGTCTTTTCTTCAGATCACCAGATCAACCATTAATTAATCATTGTTTACAAATTTTGATGACAATTTATTACTAAAAACCAAGTACTCTTGAGTTACTTTTAGTAATTGATCAAAAATTCAAATTTTAATGCTAATATTTTATGCAACATGACATCAGTTTTAATTAATACCTAATAAGTTTAACATAAGTTTTTAGAGTATAATACATGCTGTTTATCGCGCGGTCCAGTGTTCCCTTCAGTGTGTGGCTACGGAAACGTCCTATCTCCTTAAACAAAATGGCGGAGGGAAAACACCTCCTGCTCTGTTTCGTATGGCTTGCTGTGGATTTATCATTAATATGTGGTAAGTTTATTTTTGTTTAGTATATTTACCTATAAATGTCAGTTTTGGAAAAAAGCATATACTATCAGAGGTGTTGTTTGACTTTAACGTATTGATGACATATTGTCTTTTAAGATACCGATCTTATCCTGTTACCTTCTGTCATATGTTACTCCAATATCAATGGAATGCAGATGTTTATAATTATTAAGAAATGAAAGTTGTAGACATGGTAAAGACTGAACCATATGCTGTTATGATATCATTATATTTCCAAACAAATATGCTTAGATAATTAAGCTTTCATTTCTTTCATATATAAAAAAAACGATGGATTTGACAAACATGTAGCTTGTCATTGGTCCTAATTCTATTAACTTTTTTTCATAACTCGGTCACCAGTCATGGACATCGTGTTTAATTGCATATCATTTAATTGAATACTATGTTTGACATATCTATACGTACACATGAGTGACTGTATGCGTCAGGCGGTAGGGAAATTGAAACTTCAAAGCATTGAAACGTACACGACATTTATAGGCCGGGAAGCCATTAGAAGTAACATTATCCACTTGTTATAGCCATAGTC